AGACCAGCTGAGAACACTGATGGAGTTTCTATTTCCTGGCTCCTTTATAATTTCCAAAACATTTTTTGGAACGTTCCTTTTGCAGAGCCCTCTCAAGCTTAGGCCTTCCCCTCCCCCATCTCTACTTCCTTCCAGAGATCTCTTCCAGCTCTCTCTTTGCACTTCATTGAAGGGCCAATGCCATGAGGTTTCTTTCTCTAGCCTTAGCCTTGCCCCCTGGGCTCCAGTTAACTACTTGTGGTTGGAAAAGCAGCATAAACTCTTCAGTCACATACCTGCACTCAGGTGCCGCGTCAGTCACTTATAACCTCAAGCAAGTTATATAACTTAGTAGCATTAAAATGAGTTATTATACATAAAACATTGAAAATGGTGATGATATATACTGGACTAATTTGGAAAGGTACTGGACATCTCAAATTTAATAGAAGCAAACACGTTTAATTTTCTTGTCCTCAATCTATTCTCCTTTCTCTTATATGAGTAATTAGCGTCTGCCCAGTTGCTCAGGCCACTGTCTTCCACTGCAGGAGGTGCCTCCATGTACCTCCAGCCGTGCCTCTGTCTTCCTCAAAGAAGTTTATCTGCAAGTCCCTTGCCCTCCCTGAGATGGCATCACTTGTTCTCTTCTTGCTAATACATTTGAATTCTCTGTGGATTCTGGTTATTAAACCTTTGCCAGAGACATAACCTGCAAATATCTTCTTCCATTCTGAGGGCTGTCTGCTTGCTTTATTTACTGTGTTCTTGGCTGTGCAGAAGCTTTTTAGTTTGATGAGGTCCCAGTAGTGTATTTTTGATGTTGCTCCAGTTGCCCCAGAGGGTCCTCCTCATAAAATACTCGCCCAGATTGATTTCCTCAAGAGTTTGCCCTGCTCTTTCTTCTAGTATTTTTATAGTTTCATGTCTTAAATTTAATTCTTTAATCCAGTGAGAGTCTATCTTAGTTAATGGTGAAAGGTGTGGGTCCAGTTTCAGTCTTCTATAGGTCACCAGCGAGTTCCCCCAGCACCATTTGTTAAATAGGGAATCTTTTCCCCACTGAATGTTTTTAATTGGCTTGTCAAAGATCAAATAACATTAAGTAGCTGGGTTCATCTCTTGGTTCTCTATTCTGTTCCATAATCTACCTCTCTGTTTTTGTGCCAGTACCATGCTGTTTTGATCACTATGGATTTATAGTATAGTCTGAGGTCTGGTAGCGTGATTCCTCCTGCTTTGTTTTTATTTCTGAGTAATGTCTTGGCTATTCGAGGTTTTTTCTGATTCCATATAAAATGAAGTGTTATTTTTTCGAGATCTTTAAATTATGACAGTGGAGCTTTAATAGGGATTACATTAAAATTGTATATTGCTTTGTGTAGTACAGACATTTTAACAATGTTGATTCTTCCCAGCTATGAGCATGGTATGTTTTTCCATTTGTTCACATTTTCAGCTATTTCTTTTCTTAGAGTTACATAGTTCTCTTTTTTTTTTGAGACAGGGACTCAAGCTATCCCCCTGGGTAGAGTGCTATGGCTTCACTGCTCACAGCAACCTCCAACTCCTGGGCTCAAGCGAGTTTCCTGCCTCAGCCTCCCAAGTAACTGGGACCATAGATGCCTGCCACAGTGCCCAGCTATTTTTTGTTGCAGCCGTCATTGTTGTTTTGGTGGGCTTGGGCTGGATTCGAACCTGCCACCTTAGGTGTATGTGGCTGGTGCCTTAGCCACTTGAGCCACAGGCGCCAAGCCTCATAATTCTCTTTATAGAGATCTTTCACATCCTTTGTTCAGTAAATTCCCAAATATTTCATCTTCTTTGGTACTACTGTGAACGGAATAGAGTCCTTGACTGTTTTTCAGCTTGACTATTGTTGGTGTATATATAAAAGCTACAGATTTATGAGTGTTGATTTTATAACCTGGGATGCTGCAGTATTTCTTGATCACTTCTAGTGATCAAGAGTTTTATAGTAGAATCCCTGGTGTTTTCCAGATATACAATCATATCATCTGCGAAGAGTGAAAGTTTGATCTCTTCTGACCCTATATGGGTACCCTTGATTGCCTTTTTTGCCTGAGATGGCTAAGACTTCCATTACAATGTTAAAAAGCAGTGTAGACAATGGGCAACCTTGCCTGGTTCCTGATCTGAGTGGAAATGATTTCAATTTAACTCCATTCAATACAATATTGGCTGTAGGTTTGCTGTATGTAGATGGCCTTTATCAGTTTAAAAAAAGTCCTTTCTGGGCAGGACCTGTGGCTCAAAGGAGTAGGGTGCTGGCCCCATATACCAGAGGTGGTGGGTTCAAATCCGGCCCCAGTCAAAAAAATAAAAAGAAATGTCCCTTCTATATCAGTTTTCTTAAGTGTTTCTGCTCATGAAAAGATGTTGGATATTATCAAAAGCTTTTTCTGCATCAATTGAGAGAATCATATGGTCTTTGTTTTTTAATTTGTTTATGTGATGAATTATATTTTTAAATTTTACATATATTGAACCAGCCTTGAGACCCTGGGATAAAACCCACTTGGTCCTGGTGTATAATTTGTTTGATGTGTTGCTGGATTGTGTTTGTTAGGATCTTGTTGAATATTTTTGCATTAATATTCATTAGTGATCTTGGTCTATAATTTTCTTGTTGGGTCTTTCCTTGGTTTGGGGATCAAGGTGAAGAGGTGCCTACATTTCCATCCTCACATTTGTCCATTTCTCTTGTCTACACTCCCACTCCCACACCAGTGTTAGTCATATTTCTTGTGGACTGCTGATCTGTTTCACTGGCTTCCTGCTCCAGACTGCTTCTGTGCCAACCTGCCTTTAGCTCCTATTAGTAGCACTTTGCTACTCCCTCTGCCCCACGATACGTACGTGGATGTTACTTCTTATCAATTAGATCCTAGCTTGGTCGTGACATTCTGAGGGAGACCTTTGTGACTCCCCAGTCAAAAATAGCCATACCCCCAAGTCACATTCTATCATATCATTAGTTTTTTTTAATACCCATTTATTTTTTATAATTGTTTTTCATTTACCTACTTTGACCCCAACCACGTAACCTCGTGAGTACAGGGAAGATAGTCTTCATAGTCTTAATCACTCACCGTATCTAAATGGAGTGTTTAATAGTGCCTGGTGTGTAGTTTAAGAGATATTTATTGAATGAATGTTAAGCAGCTTCGTGAACAATTTTGGGGGGTAGGCAGAGCAGGTGGTATTTTACACCATTTTAACATACAAGGGATGAGATCTCACATCTGTTGTTGCTTATTCATGTTCATAAAATTTATTGGTGGCCGAAGCAGGATTTGAACTCAACTACTTGATGTTTTCATTTCCACCACATGTACTTGGGGATAGGTCAAGCCCAATAGAGTAAATGGTTTCTAACTGAATGTGCCCCTTTGGCTCTCGGAAGTTCTTTCCTTTTTAGGTTTCAGTAGGGGAGTGAAAAAAGGTAGCCTGACATTTTGTAGTGGACTAGTGGATATGTGCTAAGGACTCTTAATGGGATTTGAAAGTTTCCCATTCTGAAGTTTATGAAAAACCACATCTTTGTAGGGTGTGTCTGATACGTGGTTGGGCACACCCCCACACTCCGTGTTTGGTGGGAAGTGCTCAGGAAGCACACTGTGAGCCCGGGGTGCTGTGCTGCAGTGCACAGGGCTCAGCAGGAAGAACAAACAGCCACAGTCCCTCCCCTCACTGTGGAGCTCACTGTCTAAAGGCAAAGATGGACCATATAGAGAACTAAAGAAGGCAGAATTTCAAGTGTCAAAAAGGTCTGGAAAGGGGATATGTGGAAAAGAGAACCGAGAGTGAAGGCAAGAAAAGTAAATGATGGAGATTTTTAATGCTGTTTAGCTGGAAAGAATTGTCTGTTGTTGTTATTATTATTAGTTTTTGAGACAGTCTCATTATGTTGCCCTGGGTAGAGTGCTGTGGTGTCATGGCTCACAGCAACCTTAAACACTTGGACTTAAGTGATTCTCTTGCTTCAACCTCCCCAGCAGCTGGACTATAGGTGCCCGCCGCAACACCCGGCTGTTTTTTTGTTGTTGCTGTAGTTGTCATTGTTGTTTTTAACATGCCTGGGCTGGGTTTGATCCCGCCAGCCCTAGTGTATGTGGCTAGCGCCCTATTCACTGGGTTACAGGTGCCAAGCCTATGTGTTACTGTTTTTTATTTATTTTCAGATATTTGAGAAGAATGCTTGATGATAGTATTTCCACAGGGATGGAAACTAGAAGAAATTAATTTTAGAGGGGGCATACAGAGTTTATTTCTCTCTGTGTAAAGGATTGGAACAGGCCACCAAGGAAGAGTATGTGGTTTTGGGGTTATGCATTTGTATTTGTGGGAGATAAGAGTAAAGCAGACAGGAGATATATTCTGACTCCGTGATGTGTTTTTTATAAGTAAACATCAGTGCCTTTAAAAAGTCTGTAGTATTTCTTTGGGCTAATCATATTCGTAGCGTGATTTCTGGTAGACCTTTGTCCTGATCCCGTTCTTGACACTTACTGACTTAACAGGAAGAAGGGTGTATGTGTGTGTAAAAGTAATAGGTTTAGAGTTCAGATGGGTAGTTGATACAAATGTTGGTTTGGTTTTTTTTTTCTTTTTTTAATATAGATGGTATTTTTTATAACATCAAAGAATATGAAAGTGTATTCAGGGTAAAGTCACTCTCCTGTTCTTGTCCTTTAATCACTTAGTTCTTACATAATTCACACAGACCCTGTTTCCAAATTCTTACCTTTCCATAGGATTTTCATGCACATAAATGGCAACACACAGGCACACACCCCACGCTGCACGTTTCACACTCGTCAGCACTGGACAGTGCTGCGTGGCAGACAGTAAGTGTCCTGAAACCTTTGTTAGATGAAGGGCAGTTTTTATACTTTCTATGTTTTTAAAAATTTGCTAAGAAACATGTTTTGTTCTGTGAGGAAATGAACAATATGTGTATAATGTTTCCTATTTTGTGTTTTCTTCTTTGTTTTTAGCTCCCTGTGCTGTCAGGAATCTACAGGACTTGGCTCGGATTTACATTCGACGCACACTTAGAAATTTCATAAATGATGAGATGCAGGCCAAGGGGATTCCTCAGAGGGCTCCACCTAAAAGGAAAAGAAAGAGAGTTAAACAGAGAATTAACACTTATGTATTTGTGGGTAACCAGCTGATTCCTCAGCCTCTAGACAGTGAGGAGGATGAGAAAATGGAAGAAGACAACAGAGAAGAGGAAGAGAAGGAAGCCGGGGAAGCCGCGAGGCCGGAGGAGCCTCCTCAGAATCTACTGAGAGAGAAAATCATGAAGCTGCCCCTCCCTGAATCTTTAAAAGCTTACTTGACATATTTTAGAGACAAATAACTTAGATCAAGAAGATAAGAATGCCTACTGATAATTCCTTTAGTCTTGAAAATGTAGCGTTTGTTAGGAGTTAAGAGAGAGGTATTTCTTGCATCAGAATGAATTGTAGTGGAAAAAAGTATAACTTGTTTCTGTCAGTAACAAAAATGATGTACTCAGTGATTAAAAAAAATTCCCTTTTATAAAATATATTTTTCTTTAAATCTTGGGAAAATGCTGTTTTAACTCAGTGATTTCGAAGTAGAATGCAGCAAAAGCCAAGGCTTTGTGTACTACAAATCCTTTTCTGATTCCTTACAGATTTGTGGTGGTATGGGTTAGATTTAATTTTATATAAGATTAAATAATTGTTAAGCTTATATAATCTGATCCGAGTTGCCGTTTGCATTTCCTCTATGAAGCTGTTATCTAATGAGGAAGTCAAAAGCTTTGTTAGATCCATTACCTTTTGTTGCAATTACTATTGCTGAGTTGCTACAGATATATTCCGGGCAATATATGAGTGCAATAATACTACAAAATATTGAATAAGTTAGCTTTAACCCCACTCCCACAAATTTCATGAGATTTTACAGTCCTGCTACTTTTGCTTTCCAATCTGTTGCCAAAAAATGTAGGTTAAAAAATATCTGCTTCTCTCATAGAGATTTTAAGAGCACAGCAAGTTACTATTAAAGTACAAAGTATATACTTAATGCAACTCTTAGTTTGTGTGGACCCTTTACATTTTCAGTTTTTTAAAATGAGGTTAACGCTATAGAAGACAGTATATCTAGGATATTTTTTTTCTGTAGTAGACCATATAAAGTATTTGGTTTAAAAAAAAAATCATTGTTGTGTGAATGAAGGAGCAGGAGCGATGACCAGGTTCCTGGATGGCTCTAGGCAGCGCAGGGCCACAGCAGGGGTGGTCAGAAGATGCACTTTAGCAGACAGAACTTCTAGTTCATCTGAATTTTGTTTTTGATAAGGTAGGGCTACGAGATCTTTCTAGTATGAGAAATATTCACAGAAACTGTATGTAGATACCTTTTGTTTTGAAAGTGTGAATCAGAATCTTTAAGTATACTCTTTGGGACCTATGTATGCCACATTCATTTAACTTCTTCCCATTTTTTGATATTTCTTTTGGTAAAATTATAATAGTTTTCTTTTTTTGCTTAATATCACATACTTAATCTATCATTTGAGGTTTGTTGTAGCTTATCAGTAATAAAACAGGTAGTAAATGCCATTATTCGTTTATTTTCCTAGTAAGGCCTGATGGCGGTCATTCCTTGTTAAGAAAGTGTACTATGTAACATATTTACTACTTAATGTTACATCGATTCTATGTTTCTTAAAGGGAAAAATCTGAAAGTATCTCTTACTACCTAGCATTGCTATTACAGTAGTTGTTCAGATTTGCTTAAGGTAACCTAATCAACATATTTTTAAAGGATATCATTTCTCTACTAAACCAGATATATTGTTTCAAAAATCTCAGCTTCAACAATTCCACATATTTAAAAACAAGTGTTTTAAATATTCTAAGCATGAAATTTTTCTAAGTAACTGAGGATATTTTAGTAATGTGAAAGATAATTTCATGGAAAGTATTTGTTTTCTACCTGTGGCTGGGGGCGGGGTGTGGGATGGGGTATCTCTACACCTTGTACTAAGTGTATCTCTACATTATATTATTAAGAAATGCCCCATCTAATTTCTATCTCAAAGAAAAAAATGAGTTTCATATTATTGTAATCTGTTAGAAATGTTCATTTTATTAAATGTTCATTTTAGAAGTTTAATCTTGAATTTCTTGTGACCACTTGTTTTTAAGCTATGAAACCTGGAGAGAGATTTCATCTTTCTACTCCTCCCTCCTGCTTTTGTGTTGGAGCTGGTGTCCAAATACTTATGTAATGATGCATATTCTTAAATGATGATTTTACTATTTAGGAGAGAGTTAAGGGTATATTTGAAGATTGACTTCTTCAGATTATCTTTCATTCTTTGACCTTGGCAAAGTGTACAGTAGATTTTCATGATCATTGTGGATTATTTTGTCATTGAAATGTATCTTTTGTGTTTTCAAATGTGTTCATTTTATAGTTGTGACTTTATCATTGACTTTAAATAAGAGGTAGAAATAAAAAATGAAAATTCAAGTGAAAACCTTTTTATCTATTCATGCTGATACATTAGAATAAGAATATTTTGGGTTTTGTTTATTTTTTAATGAAGTCGTGTTTACTTGGGTATGGGAAATTATGCTCTGTAGGTGAAGTAGTAGCAAATAAAGATGAAGTAAAAGTAAGTGAAAATGATGGGGGAATATAGTTGTGGAATAGCCACGTGAAACAATAGTTACTGTCTAATTTAGGCCTTTATTTTGCAGATGAGAAGATAGGCCTAGAGAGGTGGTGTGTTTTGCCTAAGATACATAGTTAGAGGCAAGGCCTGAAATAGTATTCAGCATCAGATAAATCCCAAGAATCTGTCAAATCCATACTGCTTATTGGTCAATATATTCTAGTATTAATAAAGAAAAATGTTATTAAAATAGCATCCAGAGTGGTTAAAATAAAGTACAGAAAGAGTTAAGTATTGATTTCTAGCCATTTGAGATGGTAAAAGTGAAGCAAAGCCTGTTAAATTATCAGAAGACTTGGAAATTATTTTAAATAAACAATTACACATAATTAAGCACATTCTGCAGTGTCCCGCTTTCCTTTTTCTTCTGTTTAACTTAGATAATCTCCATACAGTTGTGGATAAATGCTGACTATGGTGTTCAGTTGTCTGTATTTGAATATATCACTTCTTTTGACTGTTTACATCTTTGATGAGTATAGAATTTTTTAAACAATTATTTTTAAAAAATATGTAGTAGAGTGTGGTGCCTGTGGCTCAAAGGAGTGGCGCACGGCCCCATATGCCGGAGGTGGCAGGTTCAAACCCAGCCCCAGTTAAAAACTGTAAAAAAAAAAAAAAAAAAAAAAAGTAGTAGAGATGAAGGATATTTATGTTGTGTAAGTGAAGCACAGGAGTAATCCAGTGTACATGTCCTTCTCCCATCAGGTTCAGCTGATGTGATACCATCCTGTGGTCACCTTCCCATACTCATCTCCATCTCTCCCTTCTCAGGAGTGATCCTGAAGGTGTATGTCTAGGATGAGAATTACTGGATCTCAGAAATAGTTCCTATTCGCCTTTGTCTAAATGGCGCAGATTAGTTTTTCAAAGTAGCATTAACCATATGTGTTTATACTAGCAATAGTTAAATATTCCAGTTGTTCTACAGCCTGACCTACACTTGACAGAAATTTTTGTGTTTGGCAGCATTAGATAGACTTTGTTACTAAGAAGGTTACTTGTTAAGGCACTTTTTTGTTTTAATACGTTTCTTGGTGTTAGGTTTTTTTTCCTATAAAGTGCCATTCAAGTCTTTTGTAAACTTTTCACTGGACAGTTTCTTTTCAAAATTGATTTGTAGGGACTTTTCTTAAATTGTAGTCTGGCTATTAATTCATTTTCAGTTATAATTGTATGTGTTACAAATATCTTTTTTTGGCCAGGCACGGTGGCTCATGCCTATAATCTAGCACTGTGGGAGGCCAAGGCAGGTGGTTTGCTTGAGCTCACAAGTTCAGGACTACCCTGAGCAAGAGTGAGATTCTGTCTCTACTAAAAATAGAAAAACTGAGGCAAGAGGCTCACTTGAGCACAAAAGTTGGAGGTTGCTGTGAGCTATGACACCAGAGTGACAGCTTGAGACTCTGTCTCAAAAAAAAAAATCTTAGTTTGTGGTTTCTGTTCTCATGCTGTTTATGGTGACTTTTGATGAATGGGCAGTTTTGATTTCAATTGTCAAATTAATCTTCTATACTTGAAAGGTTATATTCCAAGGTCGTGAAAATACATTTTCTTAAAGAAGTTCCATTATTTTTGCCCTGTATCTGTATTATAACGAGAATTTATTTTTGTGTATGTTGGGAAATAATGGTTAGTTTCTTTTTTTTACTTTATTATTTCAGGACAATCTTTTTTAAAAAGTCTCTTTTTTGTTCTCTCATTTGCAGTGTTACTTTTGCATAAATTAAGTTTTAATATATTTGTGCTTTGAGTCTAGGCTTTTGTGTGGTATTAGTCAATTTATATAATCCTTTTCTAACTCTACACAGTTTTATTTGCTGTGTATTTACAGTAATTCTTAATCAAGTAAAACAAATCCCTTTTGTTTATATTCCAGGAGTGTTTTTTTGGCAATTCATGGACTTTTATATAAATTTTAGAATTAGCCTCTCATATTACACACATGCACACATATACATATAACCCTTTTGGGAGTTCCTGGGAAATCACGTTGAATTTATAAGTTGATTTATGCAAGAAGTAACATGTTTATGGTATACAGTCCTCTAATTCATGAATATGGTACTTCTCTCCTTTTATTTAGGTCTTATTGTACACAATTTGGCTCTAAGGTCTAGCATCTTTTAGTAGACTTATTTGTAGATATTTTATGGTTTTCAGTGCTGTTGTGTTTAATTAAAAATTTACTGTACCTTTTTCATTGATTTTTGTACAGTAGTCAAATCCAACAGTCTCATGATTCTTCTAGGTTTTTTATATAGGAAATCATATCTGTAAATAGATTTAACACAGTTTAATTTTTTTCTTTCAGTTTTATTTTGCCAGAAGTGCTAGTTGGGGCCTCCAGTATCCTGCAGTGTGGAAGTGAGGAGCAGGAGCAACCTTTCTTATTTTACTGCTTTTCCATGGTCATTTTTTAGGGCATGCTGGGTTAAAAAAATAGATACATTCTACAGGAGTTTGTTGTAGTATTCAATTAATGTCAATTTGAATAAGCTTTAAAATTATGTTGTCGAAATGTGATACAGCCTAAGTAAGTTGTGTGTGCCCCCACATTATCTATCCATTGCTCAGAAATACTTGGAAATACTTTAATGATGGCATGTCAATTCTTTCTCACAGTTTTTTCAGTTTTTGTTTTGTATTGTTATGTCTTTTGGTGGTTTGAACCTTTAACTTTATGTAGGAGCCCTCTTTAGTCATTCTTTGCTTCAACGTTTTTTATTATTATTATTAGCAGTTTTCTTTTGGTAAATAGTCACCTAGCGAAATGGGACAGCAAATGCCAGAGAAGGATGGACCCCGCTTCAGGTCTAATTAAGTAATAGAA